TACTGTCTACTAAACACTGCCTAGGAGTGTTACTTTATCCTCACAGCAACCCTGAGGGTTATGTGTAATTCTTATGCCCATTTTATAGATGAGCCAACAGAGAATCTGGGAGAGTTCTCCAAGGTCAGACAGCAAGATTGCTGCTGCAAGAGTGCAGCTCAAGGCCAAGGATTGGTTCCAGCTTGGAAGCTCTTAACCACTATGCAGCTATTGCCTAAAACACTGTTAATTTATACAGAAGAACACTCTGTAGACATTTTAAAGGGCGCTGCAGAAGAAGAGCTTCAGATTAAAGGTCCTCAGCAGTTACTGTGGGGATCTAGAGTTTGATCCCTTTCTGTAACACACACAAAAAAGTCCGACTGATAAAAAGAAGAGCTCTCACTCAGCTAGGTGCGAGGCTGAAGCCTAGGCAGGCAGAGTCTCCATGGAATGGGAGGAGGAAATCCACATGGAGGTAACTCCCAGAATGAAGGGCACCAAGGCTGGGAGCATGGGATGCCAGGATGGTAACAGTATCAGGCTGAAGGATACAAAGAAAGGTGTGCTGGTTACTGGCTCCAGTCTGCAATGCCCATCAGCTGGACCTGGACTGGCTGTATTTTTATGCCAAGAACACACAAGTTACACGGGTTTTTGCAAACTGTGCAATCCTTCTCGAATTAAGATTCCTATGTGGTCTGTGTGCACATTTTGTGGTGTGCATTATTTGCATCAGTGTGATATATACAAAAATACGGTCATTCAGTGGACAGAGGGGAGCCATAAAAGATCAATGAGCAGAAGAGTGACTTGATTAGAGATGTGCTTTAGGAAGATCTGTTCTGGCAATGGGACATAGAAAGGAAACAAGACAACGATGCTGTAAAGATGGAAGGGAGAGCAAGGAGGCCAAGAGGTATGCATCCAATTCTGGTTTGTCCCCCTTCTTCCTTTAGGTGGTCACTTTCCTCTGTTCTGTCTCCTGGTTTGGGTGGGTCTTGCCTTTGCCTCCCTCTGACTCCCCATTCCAGCTCCAGGCCCAGGGGTGGACACATGATCTACCCAGAGTCCCAGTGATTGGTTCAGAATGGGCACATGTCCCAAGACAGGTCAAAAGGAGTCATCAGGGGATTTCTGCTGAAATCATTGCCAAAGAGTGACTCTCCGCCAAGATGGCCCTGCTGTAAGGTGGGTGGCGCGTGCATTCAAGGTTACTCAAAGAGCAATCCCTGCCCCTAGAGCCCCGCCCCTCCTGATTAGGGAGGTGAAGCAAGAGGTGGGGCTGGAGGGGTGAGGGGGAGGTTTGAGTTTGGGAAGCAAGTGCTTCCTCCAGATTCTTCAACTCTGTGAACTAGAGACAAGAAGCCTTGGAGTAAGAGTTCAAACCCACAAGCTTCTCTGTAGGTGAAAGATGAAGCTTCCATAAAGATTTGGAAACCTTATGGGCAGTTCTCCCCTGTCCTACAAGGTCACTATGGGTCTGAATCCACTCAACAGCAGTGGGCTTGGGGTTTTTTTTTGAAACTGTAGACTGACTTTTTGCCTGGGCTTACCTGAGTGGGTTGAGTGGGGTTTCTCTCACTTGTACCTAAAAGGTCTCTGACCAGCACACTTGTGAGACCCCAGGTGACCACAGAGACAGGGGTGGGGCAGGAGGAAGCAGGCTCTCAGTTTTAACAGGGGCTCCAGGCAGACCCCAAATCCCGCCAGCACAAAGAAAGGGGAGACAAGTGTTGAGCAAAGGGTGTGGCATCCAGTCCAGACAGTGGGCCTTCCAGCAGCACCCAACTCCAGGTGGAGTGAGGCTGAACTGGGAACTAGAGGGCAGGTTCTCATTTCCGGAAAGCACTGGGGGAAGCTCCTTGGAGAAGGCAGACAGCCTGGGGAGAAGGAAGGGAAACTTCCTGGAGAGGGTGTGCTGACCCAAGACTAGGGGGTTAGCTGGGGGGCGGGGGGAAGAGGAAGAGGACTGGGTGCGGTCTGTTGCCCTGGAGCCCCCTGGGCACCTATGATAAGACCTCTGGACACAGAAAGTCAGAGCCAGAGCAGGCTCTTTCTGTGACCCTGTGGGGCCATCAGTTCAGCAGGAATCCTGGCTAAATAACTCCCTCCTATAATTCACACACAATCTCCAAGCAGAATCTGCTGTCCCCTCCAGGCTGGGAGATAAGAACCTAAACTACTGTCTTACAAGGAAGAGGCCATGGGCCAGCTCCTGACCATATAATGTCAGTCTCAACCTCTCTGGGCCTCAGTGTCCTCATCTGTAGAATGGGCCCAATCTCAACACTAGGCTCACAGAGTAGCTTTGATAGGTCAAGCACTACAGTGAGCAGAGACGTGACTAATGGTGATTCTGATTCCACTGTCGCTGGGTTGCACAGCGGATTATGCATTTGGGCTGCTAACCAAAAGGTCACCAGTTTGATGTGGCCTTCAGCTTCTGCAAAGATGACACCCTTGGAAATCTGATGGGCCATTGTGAGTCAGAACCGACTCCGAAGCAGTGGGTTTTTGGGTCACCAGGTTACGAGGCCAGGGCAGGGGGAAGGAACCATGACTTGCCTATACATTTGTCCAGCAGATGGCTTGGAAAGGAAGACAGACTTCCAGCTGAGGCAGATGGAGGCTTCAGATCCCACAGCCCGCTCCCAAGACCAACAGGTAGCCAGAAAGCATTTTCCACTCCCTTCATAATCCCCAGGGGAAGGGTTTGAGCAGAAAACCACAAAGCCTGGGAGAGGAAGGAAATGCTAGATGGTCACTAGGAAACCCCTGTCCACAGTCTGTGGATGGATGGCCAAAGGCCAGGATCATCTGCTAAGAGTGCCCTTCCTGCCTTGGTCACCTTCTCCTACCCAAGGGCCAAAACAATGGCTTCAGAGGCAGAATCTAAACTCGGAGGCAGGGGGTACATGGGTAACCAGCAGCAGAACAGCAGTCACTCTGTCACTGCCACTAAGTTCAAGGAAGATGGGAGCCGGTCAGCCAGCAGAGCCCAAATCCTGCTGTGCACCCAATGGGGGTAGTTAGGAGTGTGCATTCACTTCTGGGCCAGAGGCCTGGGTTCAAATCCTGCTCCTGCCTACTCTCCACACTGTGATCCTGATATCTTATGAAATTTCTTATGAAATGCAGAAATAATGAAATGTGAACTATGATAGAAATTACACTGCTGCTATCTTTTACAAAAGCAACAAACAAATGTCTAGAGGGGCTCCCAGGAGATAGTTTAAATGGGAGAATATTTATTTTAAAAACACTCACACCTTAGTAACATCTGGGCCACAGCCTACTCTTCACAGCCAAAGTTCACTGGGTAAAGGAGACAGTCAAGGGAAGGAGTGGGTACAAGATTCCCGAGGCCAGGGGCTTCTGGACTCTGTGCTTGTCTCATAGGACACTTTTGTGTCACTTGTGCAGAGCACTTTAGACACATGGACTCACTCAGCCTTTACAGAGGTGACAGATGAAGAGATTGGGGCCCCAAGAGGTGAAGTCACTTGCCCCTGACCACAAAGCTAGCAAGTGGCCATCTGGCTCTGAGTCCATGCCCTGACCTCCAGGCTCTGCTACCTCCAGGCTCTGCTGCCTTTTGTCTCAAAGCCTGTTTCCAAACTAGAGACCCAGAGAGAGCTCTCAAACCACAACTTTAAAAGGGTCCTATGCACTTAACAGTAAAGATTTACAGCCTCGGAAACCCTGTACAGGGTCGCTGTGAGTCGGAACCAACTCCACGGCATATAACCAACCAACCAACCAACCATGCACTTAACAAGGAGGCCTCGGGTGGCGATGTAGGCTAATGTGTCAGACTGCAAAGTCGTTTAAACTTCAAGCTCACCAGCTGCTCCTTGGAAACCCTACACCAGGTCGCTATGGGTTGGAATCTTACTCAATGGCACCTAACTACAACCATGCTCCTAACAAAGGAGCTCAGGTAGCATAGTGAGAGTCAGCAGTTCTAATCGATCAGCCATTCCGCAGGAGAAAGATGAGGCTCTCTCTGCTCCTGCAAAGATTTACAGCCTCACAAACCCTATGCAGGGTGGCTAAGACGTTGGACACGACTCTACAGCACACCACCACCCCCAAGCATTGAACAATAAAAGTAACAACTGCCAGCCTGGGAGCCTGGTGGCTCCATAGGATAAGCACTGGACTGTGAGCCACAGCTTGAAGTTCAAGCTTACCCGCTGTTCTGTGGGAGAAAGATGAGGCTTTCTGCTTCTGAAAACATTTAAAGCCTGGGAAACCCTATACAGGGCCACTATGGGTCAGAGCCCTCTGGATAGCACTTAACAACTGTCAGCCCCTGTAGGTGCAGTGGTTAAAGTTCTCAGCTGCTAATGGGAGGTCAGAGAACATCTGGGCCTGTGAAGATGGGTTAGTTCTACTCTGTCCTACAGGGTGGCTGTGAGTGGAAACCATCCTGAAGGTTAAACTGTGTTCCTTTTAACAGTTCTACAAACAACAATATGCAAACTATTCTATTGGGTGATTTTTATCATAGACGCACACTTGTGTATTCATCTCCCTCCACACCAGGAGGACGGCAATCCATCCAAACGGTATGGATGGACCCTTTTGTAGCTGACTCCCAACACTAACGAAAACTCTAAAAATAAAGTGTTTCCTCTGGGGCGCTAGGTGTCGGAACCGACCTACTGGCACCTAACCACCGGCAGCGCACAGGCAGAAATGGTGGGGAAAGAAGGGGCCGCGGCGATGCCTTTTTCTCCGCAGGCGGCAGCCGGGGTTTGTCTTGATTCCAGAGAAGGGGTGGGGAGTGGCTGAGGCTGGAATTTGGAACTGCACGTGGAGGTCGTGGAAAACCAACGACCCGCTGGGGACAAAGGCCCTGTCCGGCCTGCGCCTGGGGAGGACATTGCGGAAGGACAGCCAGGTGGGCCACCTCTGCGGCCTCGATGGCCGGCCGAGGCTCCCAGGTGGGGTTCCCTCGTTGGTCGCGTGGCGGCGCCCCATCCTTCCCGGTGCGGCCTGTCCGCGCCCCCTACCTGTACATTGCTGGATGAAGTCGCCGTACTCCGCCCCCTGGTCTCCGGGCACGATGGTGGCGCCGTCGTACTTAAAAGTCACCCTTTGGGTTGGAAGAAAAGAACACACGTCAGCGATGGGTTGCGGACTGCGGCCCAGAGCCCCACCAGCCCCGCGCACACGGGGACAGGCTCACCAGATGACCGCCGAGCCGTCGTCGCGCACTAGGTTGTACGCCGTCCGGCAAGCTTCTTTGTCGATCCGGGTGGCCATCACCTCGGCGCTGCAGCGCAGGAGCGGCCCCGGGAACTAGCGAGCGAGCGAGCGAGGGAGTGCGGGCGGCGCGGGGCGGGGATGCGCGGAGACAGCTGCAGGGACCGCGCCGCTCGGGCTCCAGCCACCGAGGCCCCGCCCCCGCCCCGCCCGGCTCCGGCCATTGGTCGAGCGCCCAGGGGCGGGGCGTCCTTGCTCGTCTGCGGCCAATCCCGGCCAGGCGGCTTGTACAACTCCCTGAAGGAGGCTAGAGAGGGTCTTCCTCCTCCTCCTTGCCTTTTCTGCTTCTTCTCTGTGCGGATTTTCCCACCCAACCCCTTCCTGCTCCTCCCCACTTCCTCCTCCCACTTTCTCCCTTCCCCTTCCCTTCCTTCATCCCTTCCCCTTACTATTCCTCCTTCCCTCTGGCTTCCCTAACCCCTCCCCCATCCTCCCTAACTCCTCTTGCCCCTCTCCCCTTCCCTTCCTCCTCCTCATTTTCTCTCCTCCTTTCTCTGCCTCCTTCCTGTTCTCTCCTCTTTCCTCCATTTCCCTTATCCTCCCTTCTTCTTCAGCTTATTCTCTCCTTCCTCCTTCTTCCCTTCTCTCCCTCCTCCATGGTCCCTTCTCCCTCCTCCATGATTCCTCCTCCCTCAGTCTCCCTAGTCTTACCCTCCCCTCCCTCCTCCTTCCTTATTCCTTCCTCCCTCCCTTTCTCTTCTTTACCCCTTAATCCAGCTTCCTTCCTATCCTCTCCTTATTCCCTCCTCCCCCCTCTCCTCC